AGTTTTATACTCTGGAAAACACAAGTATCCAAACCCCACCAGTGCTCTGATTCAGAACAGAAGTTTAGGCATTCATGCTCCCTTGAGGTAACTCTTGTTCACTTGCTAGTGTACTGCAAATCCACAGAAACTTATTTCTGTTTTTCCCCCACTGCTAACTTTGAAACAGTCTGCAGAAGATGTAATTGAATCTGCTTTTGTTGTCCAGCAACGGAAGTGCAGAGAGCAGTCGTTTAGAGCACAATGGATTTGTTTGTTAAAACCTTTCAGGGTCTTTTGAAGACACGGATCCAGCACCGGCTGAGGTACATCCTAGAGGTGGTACGACCTGTTCCAACAGTAGTCCTGGATATACTGCACATCCTCACCCACATAGCAAGGCACTCCTCTGAAGCATGCAGCCAGGTAAATCTGTTGTACAGGAGTTCAGGAATGATAGAAGAAGGTTTGAAAAAGGGAAGAAAGAGCAGGTAAAGTTATGGCAAGGAGATCAGATGAACTTGTCTGTTTTGCATATCTCCTGCATGTCTACATAACTGCAGACTTGTAGTCATTTTTGCTGCCTGCTATTTCTCTGCAGCTGCTAGACTGTCCTCGGTTGATTGAGACCATCGTCAGGGAATTTCTCCCTACTCAGTGGAATCCCCAAGTGGCTGAACCAGGGTTTTTACTTACCAGTCTCCATGGAGTTGCTTGTGCCACTGCTATGAAGTTCATCCGAGTGTTGGCATCTGGTGGACGAAATGCAACAGCCAGGCTGGTGAGTGGTGCTCAGAAGAGCTTTTCTGATTGCAATGGACTTTGCTCTCTGTGTCTTATTTTCTCAGTAAAGAGAGAAGATTAATTGGAGGTGATGCTGAGCTGAAGCTGAAGTAGTCATTGTGAAGAAGGTGCTTATGTGTGTTTTGAAGGAATTGCTGACAGCATCATGATGATGTGTACCAGCAGAAGAGCTGCCTCAAGCTTTTGTCTGCTTTTTTTTAATAGTTTACGTTGTGCAGTTATGCAAAATCATGGGGCTTGGCACAGTGATGCTGGCCAGCAGCAGATGTTTAAAGCACACATTGGTGTGTGATGCTCTGTACTCTCCCACGTGGTGAGGATGGTAAGACATTGGAACAGGTTGCCCAGGGAGGTTGTGGATGCCCCAATCCTGGCAGTGTTCAAAGCCAGGTTGGATAAAGCCTTGTCTAGTGGAAGGTGTCCCTGCCCATGGTTGAGGGGCGCAGGGTTGGGACTAGATGATTTTTAAGATCCATTCCAAACCCTTAAAATTCTATGATTTTTTTTTATTCTATATTCCAGTGATAGGCAGCATAGGACTGTATAAACCAGTGACTTAATCACTGTCCTTGTGTTCTACAACCTTGCTTGAACTTTTCTGCCATTAATTTGTCTTAATAACTTTGAGGTGTTTATCAGTATTTTCAACTCTTAACTTCTGGACAGGTTTTCGACTTCAGAGATAATTGCATTCACTCATCTAGGATGTCATGCTGGTGCTATAAATGCATAAAATCTACTGAGAGCAGCCCCCATAACATTGAAAAGAGCACTTCTTAGGGTTTTTGGTTCAGTATTGTTAGCAGCACCTAACAAATTGCCATCTGGGAAATTGCTAGTATCAACAGAACATCAGTCTGTGCTATACAATATAGAGAATAATGTGCTGCTGCTGGACAGTGGGATCTTTAAGGGCTGTAAGTGGTGCTAGGAACATAATAGAATAAAATTCAGAGATTTTTCTGTTTCAGGCTTTGTGTACTCCAGGTGTTTCAAGGCATGCAAAAATTGCTGACAAGGTGCCTGATACTCAGGCTTTGGTTCCATTGCACTCTCATGTGGCTTGTTACATGCACTTTAAACATGGGAATGCAAGACAATAAAAAACTAAATTGAAACCATCAGTTTGGGAATTTACTGTATCTAACAACAAAGTTCTTCCTCCTGGAAGTCAATTTGACTTTGTCCTCTGTTCTGTAGGAGAGATGTCAGAACTTACAGTTTGATTCATCAGCTCCTTTGCTTTCTTGTTGGTGTGCATTGATTT